GTTCATGCTGACGTAAGCACGCGTCACATTTAGTTTCACAATAATTCGATTTTATATAAAAATACAAAGAAACTGAAACAGGGTTATGAGGGTTAATAGAGGAACAATGTAACTGAGATCTTAAAGGGTTAAAATGACGTTTTCCTTTCACCTGGACTTTAAAAGCAGATTTTTTTCACATGGCTGAGACATGAGCCGTTAATCTTTATGGTAATTGTTGTTCCTGCTGTCGATGTGTGAACTCATTGTAAACCTCAGGAAGCTCAACCTGACGACGTGCTGCACTGTGCTGATGTCTGACTCTGTCGTCTCTCACAGATCCAAACTTCCTGCCGAGGCCGGAGCTCGAGCTGACCAGCTTCGCCTCCAAAGGTAAAAAAAACCCCAGGAACTTTGAACTGAATGTGCGAATGTTTGATGTTCCCTCCAGGAAACTAATCGGATCGACTTTAAAGAAGTTCACGATTAAAAGTTATCAAATGCTTCAGGTTTCATCCAACTACATGTTTTATACAATGACGTGCTCCTGATACCAGGTTGACCAGATCCACCTTAACCCTGGTCAACCTCAGGACTTTGAATTCTGTTTCACCGCAACAAACACACAATATATCATCATCAAAGGTAATAACCCAAGGAAGAGGAGAGGAGGATTTAGGAGAATTTACCGCATTCACCAATTTTCTCTTCACAATTAACGAGGTCCAGACCGCTCGTCGGAGTTATGTACAATTAGTCTGTTATGAAAAACACGTTTTACACTAAAGGGCTGTAAGTCGTGTTTCTATAAAGCCGTTAGAGACGGTTTCAACCGCCAACATCCGGTTGTTTGGCTGCTAAAACACGACATGAAACCTTTTTTATAATCTTCATATAACAAATTGATTAATGACCTACACTGCAGTCCGCAACCAGGGGGAGAGAGGAGCTGCCATGTTGTTGATGGTCAGACCAAAATAAATGATGTTATAATGAGGAAGTGAAACCGATTGGCTGCCTGGAAGGAAGGACGTTAATCTAAAAGCTGATTGATTATTTGGGATCAGCAGGAAGGGAAATATGTTAAATTAGTAGCCGACTATATAAAATAATCTTCACTAACGAGTCTAAAAGCTTCCCGTCTCCTTGCAGAGAGCTGCTTCCTGCGCCAGGACCAGGGCAGCTGCCAGGACTACACCATGATGTGGTTCTTTGACACCGAACAGAACGAATGCTCTCGCTTCTGGTACGGCGGCTGCGGTGGCAATGGAAACCGCTTCCAGACGCAAGAGGAGTGCCAGGACCTCTGCCTGACGAAGAGTCGATGAGGAGGAGGACGCCCTCCGGATCGGCTGGAGGAAAATCAGCCACTGTATGACAAAAACAGCAACACGCATGTTCAAGGAAAAACACCAAAGTTTCCTGAATGATTTAAAAAGCTTTATCCGCAGTCTGTTCGGAGACGGTTTACCTTCTAACTAGCTTCTGCTAAAACGCCTTCAGGGAAAGTGGAAACTGCTCCAGGAGCTGCACGTTTGTCGAGTTGCCTTTGGTTTTCTTTCTTGAACATGCATGTTTTTTGTTCTTCGAGTTCGCCCTCGGAGCTCTTTTCTTTCTCACCAAACCTTCATCCTACATCCAACAGCAGGAAACTGTTGAACTGTTGGACGTCGATCAAAAGTGACGGACGCTCCTCAGAGACTCTTTCAGGTTCACATCAGGTGCTATTCTCACAAAGCGGGTTGGAGGCTGATGATGTTTTGTTGAGTGAATGTTTGAAGGAATCACATCAGAACATTAAAGTGTGTTTATGTAAATGAGCTCGATATCCACCAGCACGTCTCTGTTTGCTTGATTTGACTCACCAACCCTGAAGACGCTCCGTTTATAGATTTTATTTAGATTTCTCAGTATGTACAATATACACCCACAATTCAACCTTATTCAGCTGTTTTTTTTACAAAGATAGACAGTTTCTAACTGTAATATCTGAGTCTTACTTTCAAAGTTTTGGTCTTTAATCGGTTCTGAAGATGCTCAACAGGAAGCTGAGATCCAGAAAATAAACCCTTAAAAAAAACATTTCAGGATTTCCTGGTTCCAATATCACCACAGCGTCACTCGTTGACTCGACAAATAATCCCAGAACACAAAGTGAAACACACCGCAGAGAAACCTTGCTTTTATAAACCTTATTTTATCTGTGATGGCGTTGTGCCGAGCTCCCGGCGAATGTCCAGGTGAGGTTGTACTTGGCGTCGCTCCGCTGCCTCACTGAGACGACAACATAACGTTAGCGAGTCAGACCACAGATAAAGAGACGTTGGTATCGCATACTCCATTTAAAGGCGCCATATTGGTGAGGTCAACAGTCCCTGTTTGGAAAAATGTCCCATAAATCTTGAATTATATGTTTTTTTCTGGAGACAAATGTCACATTTTCAGGTAAAATTTTATAGAAATTATACTTCGAAAAGAAGTATAATTAAGAATAAGAAAAATATAAGAAAAATGTTTGACAAAAAGTTTTGGGTTTGATCAGTTTTTGTCTACACGTGTTTCTACAGAGAGATCCAACAAAGAATCAAACATTTAACAGCCACAAGTCTGAATCTCTCAGTATTGTTACTAGTGGGTGTTGAACTTTGCAATGTGGCGGCCACGCAGATGTAAAATACAAAAGTACTAAAAAGTATTAAAGAAATTATCTCGAATCCGCCTCTAAACAAATGATTCATGTTTTCAACCTGTAGGATATAAACTGCCTTCAGGTCACTGAAGCTGAAGTTTGTGAGTAAAATAGTTCAACTGATGGACCAAACTTTGAAAATAAGACCCAGACTTTTCTTTTCAGTGGAGGTGAAACAGCTCGTGGTCGCTGTCTAACATCTGTTCAGTATCTGATTCACTCCACAAACACTGAAGAGGCTGCAGGGTCCCAGTTGGAGCCTTAAAAGGTCTGAACGACGGGGCTTCAGCCTGTCTGTCTGTCTGGATGTGGAAATCACTGTCTGTGGTTCGTCACACTGACCAATGGTGCTTCATGTAAAAACAACAATAATAAAGAATTTAAGAAAACCCTGGAGTTGCTGCGGGACGGAGTTCTTGTTTGTTCAAAGGGGGATTTATGACCACTGGGGATAAAACACGCCGCTACTGCGTTTACACCACAAACCACAACTCGTATTCAGAGGTTTATCCTAACAGGTGGAGGTCAAACATTAAATGTTTCAAATACTTTGGAGGCATATTTCAGTTTGGAACAGATTTACAACAGAATTAACTGTTCACTCTGTTTCTGAGTTTACAGCAGATTTAAAGCTCAAATAAATTACATGTCTATAAGCTCCAGCTCTATGTTCTGTAGCTGAATCAATAATCAGCGCTGTCATACATTGACTGTTGATCCAGTCTGAAGCCACATTTCTACCATCCACTGTTTAGATCTTG